ATACATATATAGATACTATCCCTCATATTGGTCTTCAAGAAATACATGAACTACTTCAATATCACAATAAATTGTTCATGGACTTTCAAGGCTCGGTTAATACTCATTTGACAAATATCAGAGTTAAAATATGAAGTCAAATACAGAGTTAAAATCTGATAAATATAGAGAATACAATTCCACTATAATCTACGGTTTGAATCTGTTATTAAACTTATCAAATTATTTTCTTAAATATGCTGACAATTGAGGTTTTAGCTTGTAATCCCTTATGATTTTGACTAGTTTTATGAGTCAGAGCACTCAAATTATATTTTCATTTAATTAAGAGGGACAATATTTAGATTTTTACATCTATTGTAACTTTTCTTTTCTTAATTTTAATGCCATGAGGAAATTTTGAATAGGGAATATATGTGGAACTTCTTAAGTAGAATAAATTTTAACTCTCTAACATTCACGTGCCTTTTTCTGTGTGACGGTTGGAAAAGTATATACCTATATGTAATTTGGAGTCTTTTTTTGGGTGGGTTTTGTAGTGTGGGAGGTGGAACCACTATGAGTGTGTTATTGTATTTTGGCTTTCAGTTCCACGAATCCACCTCCCCTCCTTAAAATTATTTTCAGTTAAACAATAGCATTATAATATGTAATTTGAGCCAAAATCTGAATTTGTGCATTATAGATCTGAATTACAGGATTATAAAGTTTACAAATCTAAATTACATGCTTAGAGCCAAAATTTGAATTACATGATGACAAAATCTGAATTTCTGCAAATCTGAATTTCTGCATTAGAGAAAAAATCTGAAATTGCGCATTACAGATATGAATTACAGGATTACAAAGTTTACAAATCTGAATTACATGATTAGAGCCAAAATCTGAATTTCTACATTAGAGCCAAAATCTAAATTACAGGTTTACAAATATGAATTTCTGCAGTACAGCCAAAATCTGAATTTCTGCATTACAAATCTGAATTTCTTCATTACAAATCTGAATTTCAGCATCTTTTACAGCACGAGACTTACTCGAGTACCAGAATGTCTGCATGGTAAGGGCCAGAACAGGAGCATATCAGTTGTGCTACACAAGAGATCATAAATGTTTATCAAGCAGGGTAAAAATCCTATGCACATAAAAGAAATTTCAAACTTACTCATTTTATATGTGGATTAGAATCGAACAATAAAATCTTAAAGGGATGACCATTAAGGCATTGTTGTCTCATTAAGGGAATCCGTCATCATGGCGGTGTAGGATTTCCTGTTCCGTGAAGCAAAGGAATTTTGTAGTGTATATCAATATATTAGGGACAACATGAAATCTTCATATTACAACATAAACAATTAAGAAAATTAGCATTAAATTTGACCTGTGTTAGAGTGTTAGAAAATCAGGGTTAGAAAATCAGGTAGTGAGCATATGGGTGGATGACATTGTGATGATTTGGGTTCTTTGGTTGTTGAAACATTTTTTTGTTTTCCTGTGTATAAAGTGGTTATGGGTAAAGTGGTTATGGGTGAAAGGTTATGGGTGAAAACTTATGGTTTGATGAAACATATGAAAAGGGGTTAGAGTTGTGGAAATATACCTTTTGAACTTTTCTTTCACTCTCAATATCCTTTTAGTCTGGCATTAGATATTCCTTTAGGGTGCATTTTGGCAGGATCATTCAGATTCGATTCATTATTGAAAGGTTTTTTATTTTTCTTTTGTTGTCTCCTTGCTTAAGAACCTTTACCAATCAATATATCATCAATATCCGATGAAAATTTCTTCATGGACTCCTTCATGCGCTGCTCAGCTTCTAGATTTCTCTTTGCTTTGTAAGTACATTGATATGCAACTTTCTACATGTGTGTTTGGAATATTAGGTCGTCTTTAATATCATTCAAGGTTTGTGACTGTTGTAGATGCATGTATTTAGAACTGTTATATACATCTCTATTTGCATTTTCAGACCATCTCAATAGTAGATATTTACCAGGTATCTTAGCTCCATCATTTCAAACTTTCTAGAGCTGCACTGAATATCTAAACTCAAACTGTCGAAATGAAATACCCAATTAGTGTTTGTCTTATGATCATCCAAATTCTTGATGAAAAATTCAGTTTCATTTTTTATAGAGGCATGTAATTAGAGACCACATGATCTGTGTATAAACTCTTCCTCAAATATTGTGTACAGCTTCCTTGAGTAAAATACAATTGCTTGCCTCGGTATTGGACTGCTCTTCGAGACAGAATTTATCATAGATTGATCACACTTGAAATCCTCCATGTTCTCATTACATTTTCAATACCCAAAAAATAATCTGTAATAGAACTTGTGGGCTTTGAGACACCATGACAAATGTTATTGGTTGATTCACTCATCTAATTAGATAAATATCCCATTCCAAATACATCCTTATTAAAAGTTGTAGACCACTTACGTCTAATTTTGTACATATCATCTAGGCACACATTATCCTACAGATTACCTGTCTCAATCATCACCTCCCATGTATCATCAAATTCCTTTTCGGACTCAAATTTGCTCAAGCATTTATAAAAAAGATCACTGACTATCCTATTCACCACCCCGCAATGAACCTTTGTAGACAATTTCTTATATATGTGTCACTAACATAATCTATGTCGTGCATTTGGCAAAATCTTTACTATTGCTCTGACTATAGCCTGATCCTGATCAGTGCAGTTTGTTATTGGATGATTATCACCCATGATAGGATGAAAATTTTAAAAAATCATTTAAACGAGTCCACCGTCTCCTCTGACAAGAATCGGACTCCAAAGAGAACATTTTGACAAACGTAGTTAACACCAACAATAGGAGCACAACATAAATTATATTTATTCAACCTATAACTCGTAAAAAAAATAATGACATCTCCAAAGCAATCATAACCAAGCATGGATGTCCCGTCGCTCCAAAAAAAAACTCATCAGCCTACCACTCACATCAGTTTCAAAATCTCATTGAAACATGCTATCCTCAGCATGTCTCTCTGCAAACAACTGCAATAAAGCATTGACATCACCATTTTTGATTCTACATCTCTTCTCTCTTTGAATAAAATTGAAAGCATCTGTCTTTGTACATTTCAGGTTCTCTACACCCCCAACTTCTTGGGCTAGAAAGTTAAACACGGCTTCTGTTCTTATCCCAAACTGGTCATGGATCTAAGCATATATGCATTTACTTCACTTATCTTTCTGCTGAAACACAACAAGTGCTTGTCACCAAGGTTCGCTAATGAGTGGTTATGCGATTCAATTAATTTTTTATTTGTCCAATTGCCTTCCTCATCAACTCCGTATCGAATCATTACAAGGCAACCAGTTCTTGTTTCTGCTCTTCTGTATTTAACAATTTCTGTAATCTTGATCTCTTTCTTGAAGCTGATTTTACACATATGAAGTCATTCGTCTTGATATTCCTGGAGTTAAGCCAAAATGTAGCGTGCTTCTTACGAACACTGAATTCAATATAATGAGCGTAAGCACAATATATTTCATAAGCTTCTTTCTCATTGCAGATCATCGTTTGAAGTAATATGTTTGTTGTTTGCTCAGTACAACTAGCTTTGCTCTCACCAAACTGCACACAAGAGAATAAATTGTTAGGCTCAATAGACAGCTCAAAAAACAACCCTAAATCGTCATATGTTCTTTCTGATAATGATAGCTCAAAAAAAACCTAAAATCATACAACCCTAAACCCTAATAATGACACCTCAAAAAAAAACCTAAAACCATACACCTCTACAAACATGCGCCTCCAAGAACTTTACTATTTTTAATTATCTATTGAGCTGTGATTACTGGGGTTTAATGTAGGATAGGATATTTACTTCACTATTTACTTCACTGTTTTTATTAAACCTAATACCATGCAACTCTACAAACATAACTCAACATACATACACCTCCAAAAATACGGATATATAATAAAAATAAGAAAACCCTAACAGCAAACAACATTGAAGAAAACTTAAAAAAATATAATAATAAAACATCTCCAAACACACCTCCACTTTAAGTTCCACTTCTTCTTTCCTAGCAGGATAACTCCCATCTTCTCCTTCTGCGTCATACAGAAACTGGCAGTCTCTGTACTCATACTCCATCTTCAAGTTCAACAGGTCCAGTTGTCGGAAGCTGCCGCTTCTGAAGAAACTGACCAGAGAACAATAAAACAGTAAACCTAGCTGCTTAAATATCATGATTCACGCACTCCAATTTTAAATCATGTATATCACAGTTACACTGAGGGTACACGCGCGATTCCAATTCGACGGGCTTAATCATCCATTACATGGCAGTTACACGAAGGGTATAAACTCTAATCTATGAGGGTTACAGGCTCGGTTCCGCTATACTGACTTCATAGTCCGTTATACCGCGATTATAATCGAGTTACAGGAAATGGTATAACTCTCCTTCCGCAGCGATAAGGTTATACGGAAGTTAAAGTTACATTATACGCGCAGTATAACGAGAAGGGCACACCTGGGTTACAAAGGAGGTTACAAGCGTATTACATGAGGCCAATTGTGAGAGGTACCGGAAGGGTACAAGGTGGTTACAATCGAGTTACCGTCGCATGCCAAGTCTACGAGTCATGCGCTGCAAAATTCCTATTTCTTTTAATTTAAACGTCGTGGGACCGCCGCAACATACATGGCAATTTCCTACTGACTATCATACACAGAGCTGCATACGTCTTACGTACGCAAATTTTTTCCCACGAAAATTTTCTTTACCTTTCGGAACATGTAGAATTCCATGCTTTCCTATAGCTATACTCCAACACAGATTTACAGAACATCATTTTGCTCGCACTTTGACGACAAACATTTATAGGATTACTATAACTTCTATTTATTTACCAACATAACAAAGCAGGCATATTTACTAGCCTCATCAGAGAATCAGTTAGTTTGATTATTCAGTAAAATCCCAGATGAACAAAAAGCTAAATACTGCCAAAATAACCAATATTCGTCCTCAATTTACTAACAGGGTAACAGAACAAACCAGGCGCAAATAAATCTATAAGGACTAATTTCCACAAGTTTTTACCATGTGAGAGACAGATCTTCAGTACATCCAAACATTATTTATGCACAGAAACAGTACCAAAAACAACCACTATTTCAACGTTGGGGATTAAGATGGTACCCATATGCAGGTAACCACCGCTAAACGTTAAAAGCCGGTTAACATATGGTTATGGCTTAAAAAATATAGCAGCCATGAAATACAAATGAATGATGGCATGAACAGTGAGCTGAAGTGGAGCCTTTGTTTGATTGCTTAGGCACATCATCAAATAGGCTTCTTTTAAGCACACAGAACAATGGCAGATTTTATGCTTATCCATCACTGCTGGCGCACCATCTTTTGGTTTTTTCTTCTTAGCTCTAATGTAGCAGCCTCGAGTAAAAACTAAATCTGTGCTCTAGAGAACATATAATTTTTACAGTGTGATAGTGTTGTTGCGGAAGCTCAAGTAGTATTAGTAGTGAACCCTCTCATCGTTGTCAAAACTCAGACCCTCGATGCCTTTAAGGGTGGATTCATAGTAATTTCTACCAGAATTAGACCGTTTGCGGTCAGTGGATCCAAGGGGAGGACTTTTCTGAGTAGTAGAGACTCCGCCAAAAGTTCCAGGACTTGCATCAGAGGTTCGCGTGTATGGTGGATCAGATTCAGTGCTCAACATCATGTCTCGGTTGCTAGAAACAGCAGCCTGTCTAGAGGAACTGCTTGGCCTTACCATGAAATTTGAACTGGATAACTACAAAGGAAACGATAATACGTGCAGTTAATAAAATATAGAATAACTAATAATGCTTCTAACGAGCTTCTGGATTGAAGTGGTTAAAACACCAAGTATACAACTGATATACATGCAAAAGCAACCAAACTTTTTATAAATGAAGTTCGAATTTTTAAAATCAATTGTAAATAAGCAAACAACACAGCTTTTCGAGATGGAACTATAGAGTTAGCCATCGTAGTAGGAACTTATCTACTTTCTAAAGATGTGTTTACCAAAATAAAATAGAAGACTCACCATAGCCTCTTTGGTGCCAATAGAATCATTTGGCACCGGGCTCTTCTGCTTAGAAACGCTCCCCACGTTCAGTAGTGCAGAAGCCCTGCGCTTGGAAGGGTCCATTGCAGACCAACCACTTGTCCTAGCCTCTTCACCACTTAAGACTTGACCTACACTCAAAATTCAGGAATTTTTTTTAGTTTTGTAAACAAAACAAAGGAGGAGGAATAAGTTCCCGGATATTACTTTGTTTTGATAAATAGGATAATAAATTATAGAACAGATGAAATAGAACAAATAAAAAAATTGTTAAAAATAAAAAACATTTAAGTTCCTAAGCATGCAAAAAGTTTAATAAATGATTTAAAGCTTTCACCGTGGCAATTACCTGAATTCTTATCAGTATTTCCAACAGGTGGTGGTAAACCAGAGCTAGGCCCAGCAATTTGACACTGAAAGAGAAGGAAAATAAGTCATCTTCCCTGCAGAACAAACTGAAAAAAAGAGTTATCTGCCTAATGCTTACAATGGCTCGAGGAGTATTAACTTGTGACTGCTGATACTTCAAAATGGTCCAATCAAACACATAATCGAACTGAAAACCTAAGAAGGAATGGATAATATTAACCATTAGAAGAGCTTGTAGATCAATTGCATAATGCTGTTTCAACGGAACCTAAATCCTGACAAGTTGTAAATGGAGAGAGAAAGTTACCCTCGCGTATAAAAAGATCCCTAAATATTCTTTTGAGGTAAGCATAATCAGGCTTATCATCAAAGCGAAGTGAACGGCAGTAATGAAAATAAGATGCAAACTCTGAAGGATATCCTCGACATAATGCCTGAAAGTAAAATAGATTTTAAGTTATTTCTAAGAAATATAATGGAAAAAGACATAAACTTTAGACTTAGATGATGAACGAACTTTTACCTCAATAGATGTGGAGACTTTTCTTTCGCTAATTTTTTCATACTTTTGCTTCTTCGTACCCGCTTTGAGACCCTGCCATGGAAGACTGAAGAGAAACAAAAGGACCGGTAAGTGAAAAAAATAAAGCATAAATTAGTTTAAAAAAGGATATCCAGACCTTCCCCTCAGAAAGTACATCAGAACATAACCAAGAGATTCCAAATCATCCCTTCTACTTTGTTCTAAAGGTCCAACAACATGCATAGCAATAAGAAATAGCACAAAGTCACACCAATGGAATGGCCCAATTGATTGGATAGAATAGCATAAAAGGAACCAAAAATAAAAAATAAAATTACCTGCTTCAACAATAAAAATAGTGCCAAAATAGCTTTAAAAGGAAGACTGGTTCTATGTTTGTGTTTATTCATACCTATGCCAAGATGAGTATTCATGCTTGCATATCTTGCCGTCCCAGTTAAATTCTTGTTCTCTCTGCAAATTCACTCCAAATAAATTTATATGTAAAAAAAAAATAAATGCAGAGTTAATCCACCTTATCAGAATATTTAAGAATGCCAATAACAAATATGAAAGGCTCCAGAAAAGCTATTTTAATTGAGAAGAAAGCAGGTAAATTACCAGAGAAGCAGAATGCAAACAACAACAACAACAAAGCCTTAATCCCACTATGTGGGGTCGGCTACAAGAATTCAAACAGAAAAGTTAAATTATAAAAGCGGCAAAATAAAATACAATTATGCATTTTTAATCTTGAAATAATTTACAGCACCAACAGTAGCATCACCGCGATTTGTTTGTTAGAAAAATTCATTCCTAAGGTTGCAGCTTGAGAGTTACTCAAAACAGTGACAGCACTGACAAGCAAAACTAATTAATGAGTATGACCTAAATTGCCATGATTGACTGCTGGACAGCACATGAAAGAAAAGTCAAAATTATTTTAGTTAATATAATGATGTTAAGAGGTGCCAGCCCACACCGACAAAGTTGTTATTTTCCCAAATGAAAAGCAAAACTAAAGCAATACCAAACAAAGTGCAAATTCTAATGCATTCAGGATTTTTAAATACAATCCTTCGAATGCCAACTGGTCAACATCAAAATCTGAAAAAATATAAGAATTTCCTATCTTGAATTGAGGCTCAATTTTCCAAAGTTTCCTGAAGATTTTGAAGTAAAAAAATCTGTTGCATACAGACTTTTACTAGTTCAAAAAACTGCACAAATTTCACCTATTCTATCATGCAGATAATAACAAATTTTGTTCGTTACCAATTTGGAACCGCCATCCTCTTCACCTCCATAAAGGGTGTTATAAGAATTCTATCAATTTTAATTGAGGTTTAAGTGTTTGTTTATTGTAGTTTAAATTTATATTATTTTCAAGTGACTAATAAGAATTATAACTTAGAATTTGGGTTACTAATATTTTTTCTATTCTTAGTAAATTTATATTTTGATTTAATCTTCTCATTTTTCACATGTTGCAGTTGATTGATGATGTCATGACATGGATGAAATATACCATCAAACTGAGAAGTTTTCTTTTAAAAGTCCTAAGAAAAATTAGGATGAGAACATAATTTACAAATGGAATAAAAAAAAAATCAATAATAATGAATTTATAAATAGTTTTCTTACCAATTATTCAAAATGTGATGTCTTATTACCAATTTCTGACATTCAACCACTTGCAAAAAATTTCTCAAAATCCAATTTTTTTAAAGTTGGACTACGTGAAATCTCTCTCAAATCTAAACTCTAAAACCAAAAAAATGTGGCCAGGAGTAAACCCACTAGATGGGGGCAAATTAAGGTTAGGATCTCTTTCCGAGATCCTAAAAAGGGTATCTAGGACTTGGTGAAGTAGGTCAGCAAGTATATATAGAGTTATAAGCACAGCTAAGGTTAACCAACACAAGACAACCAAAAATATAAAAAAATAAAAAAAAAATAATGGCTCCGGTTTAGGAATTCAGTATGCGGAAACTATTGATGCATTGGCCTTGAAACCCTAGAAATGTTAATCCAACAAGTCTGCATGTGTTTTAGAGAGTTTTATGAATTTGGAATATTTTAAATTATTTTTGAGATAAACGGGATTTTGGCTTTGGGAAATAGATTTAGGGTTGAAGAATTGGGCTAAAATAGAGGGTAATTTTTGTTTAGGATTTCTAACATGAACGTGAAAATTTATTTTCAATGAGTTTTGATCTACTAAATGAGCTATAAAGGACAAACAAGTCAAGACTAAAATTGGCCAACTAAAAAACGTTTTTCCATGAATTTTTTTAAGATATTTAACCTGGTAAAAATGTTTCTCACACATTTGGAAGATGATATAATAACCCTGCAACACTATTTGAATAAAGCACAAACTAAATTTCAACGCAACATAATGTTAGGAAGAGTCACAAACAACCTTCCTTGGAAGTGAATAGCTACCAAGACCATTCTCCAAATGAATGTTTCGGCAACCAAACATCTCTTCAATTAATTCTACTACAATAATATAAGTTTTACAAGAGAGTCAAAATATCAAAAGCCAAAGAAAGGAAGGAGAGAAGCTACATGTGTGCATGAGGAGGGGAGATTATTCATGTATGATTCATAATCAAAACTCAAATAAGTGGAGGTTGACCACTCTAGATAGAAATTAATTATTTACATAATTATACGTCAAATAATCAATTTCTGTTGAATTAAAATAATATTCTCTTATGATAATTGAAAAATCAGACTCAAAATTTCAAAGAATTTGGAATTTAAAATTTAAAATTTCAAACTACTTACAATGTACCCAAACACATATTATATAAGTTTCCACAAATTATTCATGCAAACATAGAATAAAATAAATTTCCCCAACTAAATATCTTCAGCTTCTGCTAGATTATTGGACCGTATTGATCAACTTCATTATTTTTGGAATGGGCAATGTGGTTAGTTTTGTGGCAAGTACTTTGCTCAAATAATTAGCACCTAGGGTCACAATATTTTCATTTGATAGCTTGCCTTATAGTCATTTTGAATTAAATTTTGAAACTCCATTTTTCACCTAATCTGGTTAAAGAGTCGTGCTCCTTATGTAAGAGACCTCACTTGAATATGGAGGATATTCGTATAACTGGTGCATCATCAAGGAAAGCCTCGCCAAACAAATATTTAAAACTTATTGTAGGCATTTTGGTGCATAAATCATCTTCACAAGAGCCACAAAGATGTTAAAAAGAAGAGAAAAAGGAAAATTTAACAATTTAAAAATCAAAACCAAGCTACAAAAAAATATCTTGAAAAGGTAGTAATTAAGAAAAAATTAAGAAGGAAACAAGGAAACAAGAATTTTGTAAATGAACGCCAACACCACTCTATAAATCACTTGGAGTTTGTAGCTAGTTATGTTGAAGAGAGGGAAGGATTTGTGGCTGGTTTGATGATATATATATCAGTTGTTTAGGATTTACAATCAGAGTTTAAGAGAAAAATATAAGAGGGAATGTAAGGAACGAAGTACAAAAAGTGAAATTAGGGATAAAAAGTTAGAAAAATAGTTGTATCAGATATGTCTCTTTGCAGTGGAAACAAATCTCTCTACACTAAATCGCATCCTTTTATATTTCACAGAACATAATAATGTCAACAAAGCATTCCCTTACAAAAACCATTTCAAAAAGTTCTAATGACTTTAATTTAGTCTCAAATATTTAATTCAAATAATCAAAGTCATATAGCCCCATTTCAAGTTTTACAAACTTTGATTTATTCTCGAATATTTAATTCAAATCAATCAAAGTCATATACCCCTCATCCAAGCAAACATACCACAAAGAGTTCAAATGAATAGGAAAAAACTAACTTGAAAGAGCAACATTAACATTCATTTTCCATCACGAGGCATATGGGAAACATAAAAAATGCAATGAATTAAAAAAATGCATTTTCTTTATTTATTTATTTATTTATTTTACATCAGTATTCTCTAGCCAATTAAATAAGACCATTTCCCCACAAAATCTGTACCAACAACGCTCAAAAAAGGAAAACATCTCAATAACAAATACAATTAACAGAACAAAATCAAGAAAAGTTGGCTTAAACATGAAATCCATTACATAGTACAAAAGACCGCATACCATTACATTATTCTAAAATTAGTGAAAGGATGACAACCAAAATAGTGGATAACAATTTATTTAACTAAATGAAAGGGCTTTATTATTGAAACTAAAATAATAAGACTACAAAGTGATTTTGCCAAGTAAACGCAGTGATACAATCTATATAATAAAGATTGATACATAATCACTCAAATAGATTTTATAACGCAATTAATATCATGAGTAGCATTCTTACAGGCAAAATAATACAAAAAAATCAAAGATTTCCAGTAACCATTTGTTCCGATAATTCATTCTCATTACATGAGGGCAAACGACACTTGATTTTAAGCTTAATTGGCAATAAAATGATTGAAAATAATTGAGCATTTTGACATCAAATTCGAAAAATAAAAAAGTTAATGAATAAATCAATTTATTTTTTGCATATTAAATTTTCAATGTGTCATTACTTTGGTCAAAATTAAGGCACTAAGCACTAACAAAAAATTATGTAGATGAAATAAAACAAAGAAATACCAAAAAGACAAAAAAAAATCATCTCTTGCACTGTACAAGAAGACGGCGATATCGAAAAATAGATAGTCAACTTATAATGAGCTTTAAAGAATCAGGCATCGAACTTGTAATCACAAGATTAAACTAGAATGAGAAATTTTATTCAAGCTAAAAGTTATGAATTATCACTATTATAAACTTACAATAACAAAGGCTGACATAGTTGATATTATATCACAGGAAAAATCTCAATTTAACTTCAAATTTATTTAATCAAATAAAAATAAACCCAATTTAACTTTTACATGTCCAACTCAGTTAAGCTAGTACAATATGCCTACCATGGCAAGAGCTATAACAAATAACAACCAATAAAAAATGTTGCTACAACAACCGTCCACATTTTGGCATCGGTGTCACGCACACTATCTAGTCTACGTCTGCATTTGTTGACAAACTGTCATTGTTATTACAGATCCCCTCCTATCAATCTCTCCAATTTTATTGCTCAATATCTTTTGTTCTCTCTCTAACTTGATTTCATCAATGCATCCTTCCTCAATCCAATTTATTCAATGCATCATTGTTCGCACTCCCTTCTTCCAATCCTTTCTTGACTCTTTAACAGCTCCCTCTGCTTCTAGGGTTCGTGTACTGAAGCCTATTGAACTTATGGTCGGTTTGGTTGATGACCATCTTTTGCTGCCTGCTGTTTCGATGGACTTTTTATTAATGCTTCTATAAAAAGTAGTCATACACCTATGTATAAAGCTACTAGTATTATTACTATTGTGAGTTCTCTTTATTTTTTTGTTCTCATTTGTGAGCTCCAAAAATTTGGACAACCCGGACTCT